CTTCATTAGATCTAGTGTCTCTCCTTGGGGTGCGCCGGTGTTGTTTGTTAAGAAGAAGGACGGATCGATGAGGATGTGTATAGATTACCGGCAGTTGAACAAGGTTACAATCAAGAATAAGTATCCATTGCCGAGGATTGATGATTTGTTTGATCAGCTTCAGGGTGCCAAGGTATTTTCGAAGATTGACTTGAGATCTGGCTACCATCAGTTGAGGATTAGGGCATCCGATACCCCTAAGACAACTTTCCGCACTCGGTACGTGCATTATGAGTTTTTGGTGATGTTATTCGGGTTGACAAATGCCCCAACAACTTTTATGGATTTGATGAATCGAGTGTTCAAGCCTTACTTGGATTCGTTTGTGATAGTCTTCATTGATGATATTTTGATCTATTCCTGCAGCCGGGAGGAGCATAAGTAGTATCTGAGAGTGGTTCTTCAGACTTTGAGAGATAGTCAATTGTATGCTAAGTTTTCGAAGTGTGAGTTCTGGTTGAGTTCAATTGCTTTCTTGGGTCATGTTGTTTCAACAGAGGGTATTCAGGTAGATCCAAAGAAGATAAAGGTAGTCAAGGACTGGCCTAGACCCGCATCAGCTACAGAGATCCGGAGTTTCTTAGGTTTGGCAGGCTATTATCGTCAGTTTGTGGAGGGATTTTCATCTATTGCAGCCCCGATGACCAGGTTAACCCAGAAGGGTGCCCAGTTTAGGTGGTCGGACGAGTGTGAGGCGAGCTTTCAGAAGTTCAAGACAGCTTTGACTACGACGCCGGTGTTGGTTTTGCCTACAAGTTCAAGGCCATGTATAATTTATTGTGATGCATCTCGTATTGGACTTGGTGCAGTGTTGTTGCAGGATGGCAAGGTTATTGCATATGCTTCGCGTCAGTTGAAGATTCATGAGAAAACTTATCCAGTTCATGATTTGGAGTTAGCAACCATTGTTCACGCATTGAAGATTTGGAGGCATTATCTATATGACGTGTCATATGAGGTGTTCGGGGATCACAAGAGTTTGCAATACTTGTTCAAGCAGAAGGAGCTAAATTTGAGGCAGAGAAGGTGGTTGGAGTTATTGAAAGACTATGATATCACCATCTTATATCATCCGGGAAAGGCCAACATGGTGGCCGATGCTTTGAGTAGGAAGTCAACCAGTATGGGCAGTCTTGCTTATATTCCGGTCGGTGAGAGTTGTAACAGCCCAGCCCGCTAGTGATATTGTCCGCTTTGGGCCTAGGCCTTCATGGGTTTAAAACACGTCACTAGGGTCTAAGGCTATATACCCAACATCTCTCTTGTGTTTTGCCGATGTGGGACTCTGTCTAAAGTTTGGGGTGTTACATACACCCCCTCTTATGGACTTAGCGTCCTCGCTGAGGTTTGCCCCACCGCATGGGATTCGCCTAGACTCAGCACTGAGGTTTGCCCCGCCTAGTCGAAATTTGTCTAAACTCAGTTGAACTCTGACCCACCATCGGCAAGGCTGACACAAGAGTGGCTCTGATACCATATGTAACAGCCCAGCCCGCTAGTGATATTGTCCGCTTTGGGCCTAGGCCTTCACGGGTTTAAAATGCGTCACTAGGGTCTAAGGCTTGTTAACTTATATAGCTAGCATCTCTCTTGTGTTTTGCCGATGTAGGACTCTGTCTAAAGTTTGGGGTGTTACAAGAGACCGCTTGCTTTGGATGTTCAGGCTTTGACCAATCAGTTCGTGAGGTTGGATGTTTTTGAGCCCAGCCGTGTATTAGCTTGCACAGTCGCTCGTTCTTCTTTATTGGAGAGTATCCGAGATCGGGAGTATGATGATCCTCATTTGTGTGTTCTTAGGGACACGGTACTGCACGGTGGTGCCAAGCAGGTTACATTAGGAGATGATGGAGCTTTGAAATTGTAGGGCCGCGTTTGTGAGCCTAATGTGGATGGGCTCCGGGTACAACATCAAAGGATTTTCAAAATAACGTAGAAACTGCTGATTCTTTAAAATATAGAATACCTAATTAATTGTTTTCAGATTCAAAATTTAAAAAAGAGACTAATTTTACCTAAATTAACTAATTTGTCCTAAAATTACTACATGGAATTTTATGCATTTGACATAGAAGGATTTTCAAAATAACGTAGAAACTATTGATTCTTTAAAATATAGAATACCTAATTAATTGTTATCAAATTCAAAATTTAAAAAGAAAATAATTTTATCTAAATTAACTAATTTGTCCTAAAATTATTACATGGCATTTTATGCATTTGACACTTGGCAAAATGTCACCGCATTTGACATCGAAGGATTTTCAAAATAACGTAGAAACTACTGTTTCTTTAAAATATAGAATACCTAATTAATTGTTTTCAAATTCAAAATTTAAAAAAGAAGCTAATTTTACCTAAATTAACTAATTTGTCCTAAAATTGCTACATGTCATTTTATGCATTTGACACTTGGCAAAATGTCACCGCGGACTTTCTTCTTTTTAAGTAAATATAGACTGATTCTTTAAAATATAGAATACCTAATTAATTGTTTTCAAATTCAAAATTTTAAAAAAAAACTAATTTTACCAAAAATAACTAATTTCTCCTAAAATTGCTACATGGCATTTTATGCATTTGATACTTGGCAAAATGTCACCGCATTTGACATCGAAGGATTTTCAAAATAACGTAGAAGCTACTGATTCTTTAAAATATAGAATACCTAACTAATTGTTTTCAAATTCAAAATTTAAAAAAGAAACTAATTTTACCTAAATTAATTAATTTATCCTAAAATTGCTACATGACATTTTATGCATTCGACACTTGGAAAAATGTCACCGCAGACTTTCTTCCTTTTAAGTGAACTAGTCTTGGGATAGCTTTGCGCGTGTACCTTAAATCAATGAGTATAAAATTTTAAAATTATATAAATATTTATTAAATAATGTGTTTGAGTTATAAAATAGAATTTAAAAAATATAAGCTCTTACAAATGACGAATATTAATCCTATTTGGTCAACAAAAATAATTTCGATAGCTTAGTGATCTATTATTTATTCTTCTTTTATTTTAACTTCGGATGGAAATAATTGTCTAGGTAATATGTATTCTAGACAGGGCAACTAAAGAAAATAAAAAAAATTCTATCGCTAAAAGGCAAATATTCATTATTGAGTATAATTTAGCTATGGGTTAGTGATAGATTATCAAAAAAATACCCTGTTATCTATGAGACGAATTTCAAAGTTAATTCCTATATATTTTTTAAAGTCAAATTCTGTAATAAAATTTTTTTAACAAAAAAATGTCCTTTTCATCTAGTTGACAGAAATAAGCATTACCATAAATTAATGTATTGCCTTGGAAATAAAGTGTTTTAATTAGTATTTTCTTATATGTATTCTAGGTAAATTTTTCTAAAGTCCTAAATGTAAAGAATTCTTGCTTAATTCAAATAAGGAAACATTTAAAAATAATAAATCTGATTTAATTCAAACATCAAAATATTAGCTAGGAGAATAATCAAATAACTATTTTGTCTAGTGTGAACTCTATTTAAATCTGTTTGATTTTGAAAAATAAAAATAACACTTTTATATTTGTTTAATATATTTGTATAAATATTTGATTTTAACACACGATATGTGTATTACCAGTTGAGTCATATTACAAGGGGTTTAAAATAATTTTACTTACCAAAATTACTATTCCAAAAATTGAAGGAGTTCGTGTGTATTTTTGTCCACGGTTAAAGAGAATAGTAAGTGACTGAATAGGAATATTTAAAGGAGTTTATATAAGGGTGAAAATCATTTACCCTCCCCAACTTTGTGTTAAAAATCAAACTCCCCCACAACTTTGAACAATAATCATTCTCCCCCCTTTATCTTACACAATACCTTTTTTGCCCTTGAATTTTCAATTTCCTCCTCAATTCAATACTTTTTTATTATATGATATATTTCTTATGGTTTTAGCTATAACTTAAATTATGTAATACCTATTATAAATTGTAATTAGAGTTCATTAAAATTATAAGTAGAATAAGTAATTAGAGTCAATTAAAATTACCTTATCTTTATGATTGTTATTTTAATGTAATGCATATTAAATATATATTTAAGTTATATTTTCTTAGCGGCGGAGCTAGAAATTCATATAAGAAGATTGAAAAATACTCTTTTTTTTTTAAATTTCGGATTGAACTTGTGAGCTAAGATAACTTGGGGTGTTCTTCAATCCTCTTATATGAAAAATTCGGATTGAACTTGTGAGCTAAGAGAATAGAATTCATTAATTTCTTAGCTCACAAGTTCAATCCGGGTTTTTCATATAAGAAGATTGAAAAACACCCCAAGTTATCTTAGCTTACAAGTTCAATCCGAAATATAAAAAAAAATTGGGGTATTTTTCAATCCTCTTATATGAATTTCTAGCTCCGTCGCTAAGAAAATATAACTTAAATATATATTTAATATGCATTACATTAAAATAACAATCATAAAGATAAGGTAATTTTAATTGACTCTAATTACTTATTCTACTTATAATTTTAATGAACTCTAATTACAATTTATAATAGGTATTACATAATTTAAGTTATAGCTAAAACCATAAAAATATATCATATAATAAAAAAAATATTGAATTGAGGAGGAAATTGAAAATTCAAGGGCAAAAAAGGTATTGTGTAGGATAAAGGGGGGAGAACAATTATTGTTCAAAGTTGAGGGGGAGTTTGATTTTTAACACAAAGTTGAGGAGGGTAAATGATTTTCACCTGTTTATATAAGGAAAATATTTAATTCAAAACTTCTAACATAATTAAATAAGTAAAGAATTAATAATTAAAGTTTTAGTTATTTTAAAGTCTTAAATAATAAGAATTTAATTCAAATGACAGTTTTGTCTAATATAAAATTAATTTTTATGGAGTAAAAAAGGCCAATGAGATTTCTTATTTTTAATATAGTATACATACATATAGATATAAATATACATACATAACCAAGATCCTGTTAGGACCCGGTGGCACTAAACACTACTGCACAGCGGAATAAAATAAATGATCAACGAAACCAAAAATAAATGACACAATATTTAACGTGGTTCACCTAAAACGTTTAGGCTACGTCCACAAATCCGACACCAACTTCCACTAAAACATTTAGCAGGCATACAAAGAGAGACTTCCCCAATAATTTGGAGGTACAACAATTCCTGAGCTCTACCCAAAATAGTGGCGCACACAAAAGTGTTTCCCGAAAAATACCCGACTAGTATTTCTACTCACTATTTTGTCACTCCCCTGTTAGGAAACATTCCTAAAGGAACTACATCTCTCTCCCTCTCAAACTCTTTCTTCTTGAGTTTTGATATATTTTTTTTTGGTGTGTTATACAATGAAATGGAAGGGGGTATTTATAGTTTTGAGATAGGGACCAAAAGTGCAAATCTCACCTACCACTCATTGCATCATTGCTTATCTCACTAAGGAGAGTTGCATCATTGCTTATCTGTGCCCTACATCACCATAATTGTTGGAAAAACTAACAGATCCCACATAACTACAAACTCAACTCGTACAGATCTTGTTTTTATTGATCGCACCAGAATCAGCTGTCATTAATCGGAAGAGCGTTTCACATCCAATCTCAGGTTTACTTTCTGTGATAATTTCACTTTTTTACTTGTTTTTTTTTTGGCCATGTCTTGTTGAACTTATTGGTGAAAAAATTACATTTTTATGTGGGTGTGATTAAATTAGCTAAATTGAATTGGGTTTTCTGAAGTTGATGGTCTTAGAAGTATTGGTTGATTTATAGGAGATGTGGTGTATATTTACATAGAACATCGATATGTGAAAAAATCACTTAAATTTTAATAATTATTATGTTATGAACCCGTAATTTCAGAACTCCAAAAATTTAGTGTTAATAACTTTTAAGTCAGAACTGATCAAGTTTAAATTCTTTATCCGCCCCTTAAAGTGAGCGAATGGACCTAAACATTTCTGTCCATTATCATTTTTGTTGGAGCTTAAAATTATTTTCCGTCTGTTGAGCCAGCTGACAAAGATGCAACCTAGAGTTGCTCCATTGGTGACTTGTAAAATTTGATTGAAGTCAATGTATTACTGTCATGTAGTTTAATTTTGGGAAGATAATATGGGAACAAGGTATAAATGTGTACAGTATATATGTGCCACTTATAACTGTAGTGATCAGTAATGGTGACTTATCCTTCCTCTTCAGTTTGTGTATTTTGCCAATTGTAAGTCCAACTAGAAGTTGTTTTGTTGTTTTATTGAAGTATGTAGAACTAAGTGTATTCTCATAAAAATATACAATTTCCATTGTCGCAACAGTATTGAGCCCGGGCACTCTTATGTTCCAACGTTCGAACTTTAGAGATCGTCTCTTTCACCGGAAATGTTCCAAAATTGCCTAAGTATAGATGCCTTATTGCACTCCCCCAACTTCTTAGTGCCTGTCTTCCCTTTGTCTAGATAACTGGATTTCCCTGAAGCTCAAAACCTGTCTGAAGGATCCTCATATTTTGTTTTCCAAATTTCCTTTTACCCTTTTAAAACATTGCTTCTAAGTCTCAATAGTCCCTAAGACTTTGGTCTGGTGGTAAGAGCGGAGTATGTGATGTGTGAGTTAGGCGCAAGTTACAGGTTAGAACCTTCACCTTACTGACGTGGTTCTTATTTCCTACGAATCCTTGTTTTAAGCTGCTATCTACAGAAAGTGCTCCAGCATTAAGTCCTTGAATTGGTTGAACATGTTCCAGATGCCATTCAGTTGGAATTGCCAATATCTGAATTCACTCAATAGCTGCCATGATTAAATGACAGTCCTGGTTGTCTAATCTGCTTCAATTGTAGTTAATTAGTGAAGATTTCTAATCCAACTGGATACAAGCTTAATCTTCTGGAACCACCTAGTGTTTCGGTTTCCTCTTGCGGCTGTAATTGTATATGAAGAACCTCCAGTGAAATGAATATTTTTGGGGTGTATATGTCAGTCCATTTGGTCACAGTGTTTCCTTGAATCCTTAAAAGGTTTTACATGTATCGTGGCCTATAACTCTCTTGTTCTTTCAGATTTTTTTCCTTGCTCCCTTTGTCAAGACCCTTTCCTATGCCTCATGAAACATATGCTGCAGTATACTCTCACCAAGAGTCAGAGGATCGCATTGATGTCTTTGCCGTCTACATTTTTTAGCTTATTTGCTTTAGATTATACAGTGAAAGTTTATTTGATCGACTTGCTCAAAGTTTTAGTTGTCAGGCTGTTAATAACACTTTCCGAGTTCTCTGATATTGTGTGGATAAGATTATAACATATGTCTGTAACTTGTCAAAAGAAGATTATAACATATGCCAGAGGGTGTTCTTTAAATCTTTTGTTGGTCATGCTAGATTCTTTTTTTCTTTTCTTTTTTGATGATCTAGAAAACCGTATGAGGCCAATCCTTAAGACCAACCGCAGCCTTTGAAACTTGAGGATAATGGTCCCATTCCTCTATCCTTCTCCACTTAAATATCATACTTAGCTCGCATGGAACAAGGTCCCTCAACCTTTGGCACTTGAAATAAGCCCTGGGGGCTGGTCATACTGGATTCTCTTGGTGATCTTCTCTCTTTGAAATAACATTCTCAGTTTAGTAATAGACCTTGACATCTCTTGAAATACGTTCATGTTGCAACGTGCTGAATTTCCTCTAGCCTTTTATCTGTGGACCAATTTTACTTCTTCAAGAATGACCAAGAATACAAATTATTTATAGATACGAAGAAAGAATATATGACAATTGAATTGAAGGCAGAAGCTGTAGAGACAAGTGGAATTTGTTGAAAAATTATTTGTGAACAGACCATTGTGGCCAAATATTTTGGAAACACTGTGTGATAATCAGATTTACACTCCATAAACGTCACACACACACACATAAGAAAATTTACCTTAAAAGTCTAAAGCAAGATAACTCCATTAATGTCATATAGTCAGCACTCTGACCCTAAAGTATTTGATATTTTTCATCATTCTGAATTTTTGCAATCAACTTTCTTCTGGTGATTACTTGCGGTTTATCTTATTTTCTATTTGTGTGAATTTTCTACCTTTTTTGGTTGGTAATGCTATCAGTCATTTAAGACAGATCTTCAATCAGCTATTCTCAATGCTTAAATATTTTGAGTCTACTATATGAATCATCTTTATCAATCCCACTCCATTTAGCCCATATTATTCCAATACTCATTCAAGATAGATGTTCGAAAAAATTAAACTGCCAGCTCTATCTCCTGAGTTCAGCATTTTATAGTAGTTATCTGAGCTTATACTGCTCTTTTCTCTTCTGCTTGTGGTTTCCTTGCCAATAGCAATGGTTGATGGTGCGATCATAATAGTATAAGATATAGGTACAGTTTACTTCTTCTGAAGATATCTCATCCAGCATTATCTTGGGGTTGGCTAGAGGGGCTCATCGAGTTGTGGGGCTAGGATGGGATTCTTTTGAGGTTAAAGGGCGATATAGATAACTTTTAAGTCCATTTGATACTTATGAATTGATACCAAAAATCTCATTTTAGTATAAGAAGGTTATATTATACACTTTGAGAGAAACTTAAAGGCTTTACTCTAGTCCAAAAGCTGAAGATATCAAGAGTATATTTTACCAATTAAGAGGAGTTAGTGATGCGAAATGAAATTGGATGGTGTAAAATGTATTATTCTATAAGATTCGAAAAAGCTTGATATTGCAAAATAAAGAGATTTTGTAGCTCGGTATCTTCTTTTGATTTCGTATATGCAATGTGAATTTTAGTGTCTGCAATGTGTTTACCTAGCTTGAAAATTACTCAATAGACAGCGGTGTCTAGTTACTTGAACTAGTGTGTTCTTGATACCTAATGTAATTGGCGATTGGCGAAAGGTGATTAAAATATTACGTGGCTCCAAACCCTAAGCAAGATTGCATTATTTGTTCTGTTTTCCCTTTTTCATCTCTAACTTGTTGTATTAACTATTAAGATGATTATGATTTAGGATCCCTGAGTGCTGACTGCCATTCAATAATTGTTCACAGATGCTGTGGAATAAAGTTGTATGATAAAATGGAAGCTAGCATCAGTGGGAGCTCTTCTCCAACCCATCCAAAATGGAGAAAAGTTGTTTATGGTGGGATGCAACCTGGCTTTGGTGACAATCACACGGATGAGTCCTTCTTGGAGGAAATGATCATGAATGCTAATGTTGTCAAAAGAGACTTATTGAAAGTGGTGCTCGACGCAGTTTCAATCTCACAATATCTTTGCATTGTTGCCCTTGTGGTTTTAGTTTGGACCTACACCCTCAGAAATACCTTGAATGAAAAATATCTCTTACTCTTGAATGTCAGCCTTCTTGGTTCGGGTTTCTTTATTCTGCTCTTAACTGCGGACATGATACCCTTTAATCTCCTCCTCAATTATCTCCTAAAATATACCTTTTTCATAACTGCCTTATATATGTTGTCTCCTATCTACCATACACTTACAAGGTCCATAAGCTCGAATTCCATATGGGCGCTAACAGCTTCCCTTCTCATACTCCATCTCTTTCTGCACAATTACTCAGGGTCCACCGTAAAGGCTCCTGGAGCTTTAGAAAATCCAACCCTGACAAGCAATATATCTCTGAATGCGTCAATCGTGGCTTCACTTTTGATTTCTTCTCGCCTTCCATCGAGGCTTCATGTCTTTGCTATTGTGCTATTCTCCTTGCAAGTTTTCCTTTTTGCTCCTTTAGTCACATATTGTGTCAAGAAGCGTTCTTTTAAGCTGCATATTTGCTTTTCCCTTCAGTTACTGGTTCTAACACTAATTTTCGCTTACCAGTTGCATAAGTTGCTTTTCATTTTGCTTTTGGGCATTTTTGTCTTCGTCAATTTGGTTTGTCCTTACTGGCTGATAAGGATTCAAGAGTACAAGTTTGAGATTAATGGCCCCTGGGATGAGGCTAAGCTCTGTTTTAACATTACAGAATAAAAGGGCAGCCTGGTGCACTAAGCTCCCGCTATGCGCGGGGTCCGGGGAAGGGCTGGACCACAAGAGTCTATTGTACGCAGCTTTACCCTGCATTTCTGCCAGAGGCTGTTTTAACATTGCTGTATGAAGAGGTTATATTTTTAGGCATCTCCTTTGTATTCAAATCTCCTGGATTACTGCGTACAGGAGATTTAACTAGTCATGTAGCTATTTGGGGGTGTTCATTGGTCGGTTTGGCATGATTTAAAATATTTTGTTTCAATGTTTTTGATTTTTGGTTTTAAAAATAATATACCAATACCATATCAAAATAAATTTGGTATGGTTCCATCTTTTACTTTTCGAGTTTGGTTTATGTGGTTCAGTACCTTACGAGTTCGACTTTGCTTTACTAAAGGTGGAACAGTTATATTGGAAGTCCTGGACAAGGCTGGTTCAACCCTAAGAGCACTAAAGTAAAGTTGAACTCGTAAGGTAAATATTCAATTTGAAATGGATGGAGTATCAAACTATATTCACTTTATGAAGTTTGATCGTAAGTTTTATGCACAGACAGTATAAATAATTTTTACACTATCAAGTGATCTTTACATGTTGTAGGCTTATAGCGTATAACTTGTCTTATTTTTGAGATACAAATTTAATTTTAATGGAAAGTTACCTATAAATATTTTTGAATGACTTGATAATATAAAGTTTCTTCATAAAGCCGATGTATTTATATAGGTGAAACTCATTCTCTATCCATTCAAAAATTGTCATGCCCCAAAACGGGAGAGAGATAAACCTAGCAAATCAGCTCTCTCTACCAAAAGAACTTTTAGAAAATACCATAAACTCATATTGAACATATACAAATAGTGGCTAGAGAATAATTATATAACTATATTAAAACTTTTGAAGGATGACCAGTTTAACGATTATCTCTAAGTCCATACCTTTATGATACACACAGTAGTGGAGTTGGAACTTTTATTAAGGAATGTTAAAAGTTTAAAAATTAAATATAGAAAAGTCAAGAGAATTCAATACATAATATATACATAAAACATAATGTATATCTATGTATCGCAAAGGTTGACTTGACAATTAAAAATCTTTGATCTTTATTGAGAGAAAAAAGATCTACTAGCATGGATCACTTTTTAAACTTTTATGTGAAAAATTACTTTCTAAATTCTAAGTAAAGAAGGGAGGGGAATACTCAAATAATTACTGCGTTTTTACACCTCCACAAACAAATATTGAAGGACCAGATAAGTTGTCCCTATTCTCTCTTTTGGCCTTACGTATATCCTTAATAGTAGTAGATTAGATCTTCAAATTATTCGTTTTTTTCCATGAAAAGAGAAAAAAAAAAAAAGCAACAAAAAGATCTTCCAATTATTTAAAGAGATAATAGTTGTTGTATACTTATATTATAGCTTAAGATACCTAAATATTCATCTTATTGACCTAGGATACAACTTTCCAAAATTTTAATGCACTTTATTCTTTTTTCTAATATTAATCTTAAGGTACGCGCTTTGCGCGTGTACTTTATATCATGAATAAAAATTATATAAAGTAAAAAGTATGTATTGAGTCATAAAATAAAAATTAGAAAAATAATAAAAGTTCCTAAATACGATGAACATTGATATACATTAGCTAATTCTATAACCAAAGAAACATTACCTCACAAAAATTCTCAATCATCAAATGCTTTATTGAAATTCCGGTACATGAGTTTTGTAGTATTTGTTTATTAGCCCATACAGAATAAGCTATAATTCTTTTTTTAATAAAGTATATAATATTCTCTTTTATGTTTGGAAATTTTAGAATTGATAATAATTTTAATCCTTCTTGAAAAGATATTTTTCTTTTTTATTTAGCTTAGGCTTTTAGGAATTGAAGAAAATTTGATCCCTTCTTGAAAAAGTATTTTTCTCATTTATTTAAGACTGGAATTTTAGGAATTTGTTTTTTTTACGTTAAATTTTTTTGGAATATTTAGTTTTCCCTTTCAACATGCAGATCAATTATTTTACTTTACATTTGATATTGGACTATTTGAACACCGTATATTTTGGTTTTTATTTAAATTAGGAATTGTTAAACACTGTGGGGCAATTTGAGAAAATTAACTACTTGTAGGTATTATATTCTCAAGCTATGTAATTTGGTAGTGGTGTGAGATGCAAGTGTTTGACAAAAAAAAGTGTTAAATTTTTTGTTAAACTAATTAATAGAGATATAGAAGGTAAATCTTAGCCGAGCATAATTAACTCTAGATTCAGGCATGCTGAGTATAAAAATCGAAGAGCAACAAGCTCGTATAGTATTTCTATAGATGATTATCATACATCAAATGTACATGACAAGCTTACATCTGTTACAAGTTTGCATCATTGTGAGCATGTGATTTTTGCCCTATATAAATTATTCCAACAAATTCAAAGCAAAATAATTTCTTTCAGTATCTGCAATTTTATTGGATTTCGTGGCATTTTCTGTTAATTATTTGCATTTGTCTGTGCACGTTTATGTTATTTAATTCATGAAAAATAAAAAAAATATGTTGCATCTGCATTTAAGATTTAATTTTATATTTTTAGATTAATTAGAAAATTAGTTTGTTTTATAAAAAATGAAAATCACAAAAGTAATTCGTTTTGCATTTTTACTTTTTAATTTTGAATTTTGTAATTTTTTTAAATTTAGGATTTAATTAATTATTGTAAATACCATGTTGAGTGATTAATCTAATTGGGTAGGTTAATTCAGTTTAAAAATTATTATTAATTAAGTTAGGATTTATTTTAATTTTGGAAAAAGAAAAGAATTTTGAAATTGAAAAAGAAAAAGAAAGAAGTGAAAGGAGATCCAGATCTGGGCTAAAACCCATTCAATTGTCCCTAGCCCAAACAAAATTACCCAATACCCGGCCCAAAGTCCTTTGTCTTACCCAGTCTAAATAGCCCATCACCCAGGCCGTTGAAACGACGTTGTAAGGTAGTGGAACGACGTCGTTTCGAGTTCAGTTTACCTTAACACATCTGGGCCCTTCATCTTGCTTCATCCGACGGTCCAGAACTAATTGGGTCACACCTATAAAAGTGTCCAAATGCCTTGCACCCCCCGGTCTTATCGTCCCAACACACCCCAGAAAATCCCTCGTTGCCTCCGCCCTAAACCGCCCGCCGGAAATCGTCTCCGCCGGCGGCATCGGTCCAATCGCTGTCAGATTAACACCAAAAATTCCCCTCCTCCTCCTATTTCCAAGTCTCCAAATCCCCACCGTCAAATCCTAACCCAGCCTCTCGAATCTTGAATCAAAAGGAATGACCAAAACCCTAACGCCTCCAATCAACCCCAAATTAACACCACATAGCCACCACGACCCCCTCATGCCAAATCCTCACTCCGTTTCCCTCGAACCTTGCCGGAGCTGCTCAAATCCTAAATCTAAGATCGACCCCTAAAGTTCAGAAATCATTTTTTTTATCGGACCTGGTACATGCATGGTCCTAAGGTACTGTTCTTCGAGTCTTGAAGTTCGGATTCAAACGATTGACCTTAGCTTTTTTAGGGCTTTTGTCTCCGATGGATTTTGAGTCTGAATCGGTAAGCTCCTTTCTTCTCTTGCCTTTTTTTTTTTGCTGTCTTGTTCTCTTCCTCCTTCCCCTTTTTTTAGCTTAGTCTAGTCCGGCTGAAACTTGATTAATCTTTCGAGTTTGAATTGGTCTTCTGTTCATTGTCCTTCTCTTCTTCGTGAAAGTTGTTCTCTGTTTCCTTAGTTGTGTTATCAGCCCGTTTAAAGGTCTAACTTCATATCTCGTTTAGTCACCTAGTTAAATTAGGGTTATTTTAATGACTTGGCTAATTTCTTTCTTATTTGCGTATAATAATCAGTTGACTAGTGTAAGTTTTAATTATCGAAATCTTTCAAGTGTTTGCCTTTTGTTTGTTGACTGATTTGATTTAGTTTGGGCTTTGAAGCCATTATAGACCTCACCCCAAAGGGGTTGATTTGGGTCATTGGGTCAGAATTTAGCCCAAATTTTGGTTTAAATATCGGGCCAGTCTGACCTAGTTGGTTTCCTAGAGTAAATTAACAGGGCATTCGGGGGCAGTTTAGGAAATGGGGGAAGGGGAATCTTTTGTAACAAGAAGGGGAAGATTCTAGGAAGCTGAGGTGGGGGCTGTTTTGGTAATTGGTTAATCATGTTAAGGGTAATTCAGCAAAAAGGGAAAATCAGGTAAGGATTAGTTAGCAAAAAGCAAAATTAAAAAGGACTGAATGGAAAAAAAATATTTCCTTGGGTCTGCCCTATTTGCTTACCTATAAAGGCATCTTTTCCTTGCCATTCAAGGCAGATTTCAGAGAGCTAAGAAACTCAGAAAAAGAGAACGGCTAAAATTTGAAGAAAAATCACTGTTCCATTGATACATTTCTGATTTTTTGAATTCCAACTTGCTTAAGGCAATCTTTGGTTCAGTGGGTGTATGAGATGACTTGAACTTGTTCTTTTTTTAAAGTCTGGGGTTGAGTTCTGGGTCAAGGTTACTATTTCATTGATTATTCTTGAGCTGATTTCACTGTTCTACTGCTGAATCTGGGACTCTGTTCTGTTGTTGCTGCCTACTGATCCTTACTCCTTCTTGCTTTCCCCTTATTCCCAGGTACATGATCTCTGAATTCTACCTCATGTAAGGCTTGACTTGAAGAGTGAAATGGAAAGCAAAGTTTAGAGCATATCATCAGTTATTTTGTGACTCAGTTGTATTGTTTTGTTATGTTTTTTTTCAGTAACTTGATGTGTACATCGTCTAGTTGAGATTCTGTTTTGGATAGTGAACTTTTACTATTGTAGCTAACTTGAGACTGCTACGAAAACTTGGAGAATAATTTGTTGTATTGAATCAGTAGTTAGAACCTATAGTCAATCATGCTAAATCCTATAATGTGGACTGCATTGGAGTCTTGTCTGCTATAATAAGTTCGTTTAAGTTGATACAACATATTAGTTGTGTTTGGATGGTGTTGTGTTCATGTAATCGTAGTTAAATGTGTTCTTAACTTTAGTGAGTATGAAGTCATATTTAAAGGGGAAGAATTGGTCCAGAGTATTCTAATAATAGAAGCAGGCGTCAGTTCATTTTGCTGCTGGTTGTGAGCATGCTTAGTTGGATTAGTTGTTTCAATTCAGAATGTTCAGTTAGTAGGCTAAAACTCAGAAGCATTAGTCTATTTTGGTGTTAATTATGAACATGTTTGAATTAGATTTGTTGTTTGCCAACTCATAATGATTAGTTGATAGTTAAAATTC